CGCGGGGCCCGGCGCCGAGCAGGGGCGGGCGCCGCGCGGAGCCGCGCCGCGCGCTCCGGATTAGACCCGCCCTCCGCTGCCGGCATCGCTCCTTACATCACTCCGGAGCCTCGTCACCGCTCCGCGGGCACGCCGGGTCGGGCCGGGCCGTGSGCCCCCCGCCCGGTACCCCTCGATCCTCGCCCGGGGCAGCACGCAGCGGGCCATATGGGCCCTGTGGGTCTGCGCGGGGTTATAGACCCCCCCATGGGCAYGGGTGAGATGGGGTTCGTGGGGGTCTGGTGCCTACAGATGGGTGCGGGAGGTCCCTAGGGATTCGTGTGGTCTGTGGTTCCTGTAGATACCTATGGAGTCTGATCCTTAAGGGGGTGCTCAGGGAATGTCATCTCTCCAGTTCAGTAACCTGTATGGTCCCTGTAAGGGACTGTAAGGAAATAGCTCCTACAAGGCCATATAGGGGGAATGGTACCTGTAGGTGTGTACGGTGGAGCTGGTGCCTATAGATATGTGCAGTATGTATTTGGTYATGGTCCCTATTAACTATGTGCAGTGAATTTATCCCCTATAGATGGCTGAGGGCCACAAAGTATTTATAGGGGTGTATGAGGGTTATAGATCCTATGAATGTATTCAGGGCTATGGTAACTATCAGAGCGTGGGGGAGATGCGGTCTCTGTTGATGTGGGTGGGCAGACCCTGCAGGTATTTGCAGCCTGCTGGAGCAGGTGAAGCCTATAGACTCTTCAGAGGTTGACAGAACTTGGGTATAGAAATGGGTCTGCCCCAGGCAGCGCAGGACGCTGAGCTCCCTTCTGTCCCTGGACAGGTCCAGGGCCTGGATAGTTGATACCATGGACCTGTCCAGCCATGATGCTGGCCATGCTGTCTCCACCACCCTGCCACTCTTTGTCCCCTCATCCCCATCGGACACAAAGATGCCTTCTGGGCTCCCTGGGCATTACTGCCCTGGCGCTAGTGACACCTGGTTGGCATGCTGYCCTGAGCCCAGCTGTGGCCTGGTTCCTTGCTGCAAAGGCTCTGCATTACCCTCAGGACAGGAAGAGACCCACCCCAAACTACCCTACACTCTTCCCATTGCTCCCTTGTTGTGYATTAGGAATGGATGAACAACTCCCTGATTGAGCTATACCCACAAAGACACAGCTAGAGCTACCCTGGGTTTATTAAGGGAGGTTTGAGCCTCCCCTGCAGGTTTCACTGGTGTGAGTCACTGGGCCTCCATGCCAGAATTTCCTCAAAGTTCTGGTGCTTCCTCTGTGTCGAACTGCAAACTAAACTAAAGCAAATATTTTCTGAAGACATACAAGGTGTTGCCAGCTGAAAGGACAGACAGAGGACAGAGAAGAATCACAGGAAAAAGGAGTATATGCAGACTGGAACTGAACTGAATTTTCTCTAGCTGTAGACACGCAGTCATAGGGAGAGTGGGTACGGGAGAGAGACCAGTGGAAAGGGGAAAACACTCCTGAAAATCTCCTTAGCTTTACTTCACACCCCGTGAGACATTTTCTTCAAAGTACATAGGTTTAAATGTCTGCAACTCACATTCAGGGGAATTTTTTGGCTATTTGAGAGGAGCYATGGGCTGTGAAGCTGACAGAGGAAGCATTGGCTCTAGCCTACATCTACTCTGATATTGCAGGTCTGCTGGGGAAATCTGTCTCCTCATTCCCATCTCTTCATTCATTTTGGTTCAGTGRTGTGCCCAGATCTCACTGGTGACTCAACAGCCTCAACACTCGGTGGTGACTGACTCAGAACTTGAAAGTGAAATAGAAGAAGCCTAAGTGATGTACAATCAACCAGAAAGAGTTGGTGTGAACTGGTTTAACACAGATACCCCTTTGAGGCAAACCAGGAGCCCAGCTCACCTGTTCTGAAACTGCTCTTTGGGGAGGGTGGTCCCATTGTAGGGTGTTTTCCATAACTTTGTGTCAGATGTTGTAAATCATATTCCTTCCTAGTGATCTGAAGAAGCAGTAGGCTTGACTAATGCTGGATTGGCATCTCCAAACATGTGCAAATGTATATCTCCCCCCATATGATTCTTTCCTGCATATTGATCCAGAAACCAAGGCCTTTGCTAAAGCACTTTTATAGCGAGAGGTGCTATCACTTAGAGAAAGCCCATCATTCTCTCACACATCGGCAAGACTACTTGTTGAAGGCGGTCTCCTGTGACAAGATCTGTTGTTCTTGAGACATAAACAGTATTGATGCTCATCTGTCCTTCAGACAAGTATGACAAGGGCACAGGAAATGTCTAGCAGAAAAATATTCCTGGAGAATAGCATGAAAAGTCAAGCATTCTGCTCTAGAGGCTGTCTGGAGCCAGAGACTCGACTTTTTTTTTTTTTCTGTGTGTCTATACAACATCCATCACTGTGGATGTGACTTGTGCTCCACAGGTTACTGTGAAACTGCTTCTGCTGTATGGGACCAGTGTGTTGATGAAACATCCAGATACGTGTGCTTCCTTCTACTCAATATAGCATCACAACTAAGCATGCTAAAGAAAGAAGAAGTCTCCATTGATCTCCTTTATAACTCCATCGTCTTGCCCTAAACAGAAGTTATGGGGTGGATGAGGCTTCAGGATTCTGGTCCAAATGAAACCATGATAACAGTGACAGGATACTCAGGAAAGATTACTCTGATTACAGCTCCACTCCTTAACTTCATCCCCACTTGTGACTTGTTACAAAATCTCTAACACTTCCTCTTTTATCTCAAATCTCATGCTCCCTGGGTTGTTTTTACCAGCCTGTTTCAGAACTGCTTTCTTGTTTATCTTCTTTTCTGGATGCTTTCATCTCCTGGAAATCCTGTGGCTCTTGGCAGTGAAGGGAACTGCAGGTTCAGCAACTTCTATTTAATCTAATTCATGCACAGAATCATTCACCTTTAGCYTGTTTTCCCTACCAACACTTGTTGGACTCTAGTGACTTTGTGAAGAGTTCATAATGAGTCTGGTGTGCTCAAAAGCTGATTCCTTCTCATCAGGGGATTAAATTGTGAATCTTTATTAAAATGAGCTCAATACTTTGGACCTAATTTTTTCTTCTAAAATTAATGTAGCCACAAAAAGCTAATAATAGGAGTGCCTGGGATTATTTCCTGTGAAGTTGGATTCTTCCTTGCTTGATTAGATACCAGCTTGCTTCATAAATGTAGAGGAGGTACAGAAAGGATCCTAACACTGTAGTAGGCAGAAGACCACTAATCCCCACATATAAGACAGACAGTAGACAAAAACCAGACAGACTCAGAAGTGTGATGGGGACAAATATAGTGAGAATGGACACTGAGAGGGCAGGGCACACATGGAATTACAGAAATACGGGCAGTGACAGATGGGATCCTGGAGAGCTGCTKTGAAGACAGAAAAAAGAAACCTGCTCAGACAAGGGACATTTCATTGCCTTTTAGCTGTTTGTTTATTCACTGCAGCCTGAGAGAATCCCATGTTTTAGGCAGTTTTATATAGCTTTAGGAATTCTGGATACCCTTACCTGTGGGAACATCTAATTACTTTCTGACTCCTCCCACCTATCTAGCCATAGCAGCAGGGAATGTATGTATGGATGAATGACAGGAGAATATAAAGGAGAATTGTAAGGAGAATATAAATAAACTTTTCCTGCAAATGATTGACTACTCCGTTATCCATTCAGATCTACTTACAGAACAGGCTGCAGAAAATGTTCTGATTCTGGCAGATCTTCCTCCCCCCTGGAAACTCCTAGGGTGACACCCCCCAGTGGTAGGTTTTGTCCCTGTCTTCTCCTCATGGGAGAATCTCTGACACAAAACGGACAGGCTGGTCCCACAAGAGTCCTCCGATAAAGCTCTGTGGCCTGAAGGGTGGCAGTGGTGATGCCTGCAAAGCTCGTTCATTCGCCTTTTGATGTTTTTCATTTTCTCCCTGTTTTGAAATGCTGTAAAAAAAATACTTACATGAAGAGGAATACAGAGACATCTCCCTTACTGTTACCTGCTGTGATATGTTTTTTTCTGGACCTATCCAGCAGCTGAAGGAGGACATTTCAACTCGTCTTGGCTTTCTGCCTTTATCACTGCAAACTACAGCCTGCCAAGGGACAAGTTGCAGTCAGGTGTTAGCATGCAGATMTCTTGCTCACGTCTTGGGTTCTGGTGGTTATTTTTCTTTACCTTGCTATATTGTGAGCAAAAGCCAATCCTGCGAGAGCTTTTTTCTTGAGCAACGTTACTGCCACTCTCATTATTTCCGTTGCCATTATGGAATGATGCTGTCGTCCCCCACAAGAACTGACTTTCTTTCCTCTGCCTCGGGCTTAGAAGGGCACCACTCCCTCAGTATCCAACAGGTATAATTTTCCCATGGAACTAGCCAATTCTAGCTACCATTCTTCCACTCAGATTATCCTATGTCTCAAGGCGTTTCATCATCAACCACTTTGCAATCAGGAGGAGCTGTCCAAATATGCAGAGATGAAGATGSAAGAAACCAGAGTGCAGGCAATGCCAGCACTGTGCACAAGCCATTACCTAGCCACAGGCTGGATGCAGATGATAACATAAAATGAGAGGTTTTAACATGGGTATTGGTAAGCACAGGTTTTCCTCCAAAGTGATAAATAATATGGTGAGGAACTTAGATATCTTCCTTTCCTGACATGGCTTCTTGGCTATATAATTCTGCAGGCTCTGCATTCTTACTCACTTCACCCAGGATGTGARGAATACACAGGATCAGGCAGGCTCAGGGTGATGTGAATTGGCATTTGATTTTTTCCAAAAATCTTGTCAAAGAGGAGGTCTTCTGGCAAGATAGTTTTATCTCAATCTATTCATCTGACAGTAGAAATCAAACAGCCTGCCACAGGTAGGAAGATTGTGTGATCCCAGACCTCATCTTCTTACAGACCACCCGGGACTGTCATGTTCATTGCCACCCATCCCACATATCTTGACTTATCCTTGCAAAAAGACCTGAGCTTCTGTCTCAAGACCAGAAGCAAGCCAGACCTCTTGAGCTGATGGACACATCTCTGGTTAAGCACTCCTAGCTACTACAGCGCAGGAGAAAAAAAAAAAAAACATTCATTCATTGTAACCCTGAAGACTTATGAGCTCCAGCAAATTCAGGCTACGCTCGTACATTCACAGAACGAAGCAACACTTGAGTTATTAGGCTCAATTGC